TAGTAAGAATACTAAAGAATGTATGGAGGTTACATTTTTCTTTGTGATAATGAAAAGGGGAAATTGTGTTTTTTAAGCCTTTATCTATTTTTTCTAGGCAGGAATACCAATGGGACCAATGCCAGCAGCAGGAATGCCTTACTTGGGACAAGCACCCTTCCTGGGCATGCGTCCTCCGGGCCCACAGTACACTCCAGACATGCAGAAGCAGTTTGCTGAAGAGCAGCAGTAAGAGATCTCCAAGAATCAAGGATAACAAACAAATATATAATAGCACCTATGTTAAAAATGGTCAAATGATCTCTAATGCAGATATGAAATGAAAAGAGTCAAATTGGCTTTAAAACTCTCTAAAATACTGTAATAAATTTAGAGCCTCAAATATCCTGTAATTCAGCTATCTTATTTTACATCTAGTGAAAGTGAGGTCCAGAGAAATGAAACAACTTGTCAGTCCAGCTTGCACAGTTAAGCCTGGACCCAGATGCAGGCCTCCTGATTCCTGGAGTGGTACTCGTTCTCCCATATGACAGTGCCTTTCCAAGGAAGTTTCCTTTTTCTATGTAGAGCGAAGAGCGTTTTTGTGTTTGTCTGCCTCTCTGTTTTTTGATTTACTTTTGTATGCAAAAAAATGTCTCCTCCCCTTGCAAATTAGATAAATAAATTCATATAGATAATTCAGGAAAATCATTTTTTAGACTCATGTCAAATATTTTGGAATTAATATAGTGAGGAAACAAGATTGCCGTAAGAAAATTAGATATATTTAGCAGCGAAGTTTACAGTTCTAGAGATGCAAGATGACATTGCTGAAACTATTAGTGGAAATCTAAATATAGCACAGTTGATAATCCCTGAAGCTGGTTCTTTATTAGACCGTTTTTCCTTTAGAAAACGATTTGAACAGCAGCAAAAACTCTTAGAAGAAGAAAGAAAAAGACGCCAGTTTGAAGAGCAGAAGCAAAAGCTCAGACTTCTGAGTAGTGTGAAACCCAAGGTAATACACACACCACCTCTCCCCACCCAAAACATACACACCCTGAATGTGCCTCTTCTCGCTCTTTTAGTAGATTTTGTCACTCTGTCACCAGCCCAAGCTGAGACCGTGATTGATTCCTTTCATTTGGGTTTATCTAAGTCCTAAAGGGAAGAATTTTTCTTTTTCTATAAAGATGCTTTGTTGTTGATGTTTGGAATAGGATAGCAGCCAGCCGTTATCTTCTCAACTCCGCTGTCATGGCAATGTTTGTAATCTTCTTGGGAAGTGTTAATTTTATATTAGTGATATTTCATGTTTCTCCTAGGATCCTTATAGGATACTTAATATCAAACAGCTGTATCCTAAAATATTTATAAATGGACCTTTTAATATTTTTGTATTCTATGGAATGTCATTTTGTGTCTTTGTTTTATATATTTATCAATGTCTCTCTAACTTGGAGAATTCATTATCAAAAGTATATGGTAAAAATATTGGAAATAGACTAATATGTTTGCTTTTTGTCTTAATTTGGGAGGGTTCAGGACAAAGAGAAAAGTGAAGACATACACACACATTTGTTGTCTCTTAGACAGGAGAGAAGAGTAGAGATGATGCTTTGGAAGCCATAAAAGGAAATTTAGATGGATTTTCCAGAGATGCTAAAATGCACCCTACTCCAGCATCACACCCCAAGAAACCAGGTAGTTTTAATTCTAAGAGGCATTCAGTTTTTCTTTTCTTGAAAAGCGACTTATAGTCCCTATATGTTTAATTGACCATTGTGTGTGAAGAGTAAGTGCAGAACTCTTCCTTCAAGCTGAGTACAGATTTGGACATTTTAAAATTTACAATGACTTAAGAGCTCTGGTCTGGATAACAACTATCTTGGGAGGAAAAAAACTTCTTTGTCTTCTAGTTAAATGTCAGTATGACAACTTCACTTGTAAATCTTTTGTATATAAATGAATATGTTAACGTTAGTAAAATCCATTCAGTCAGAGCAAAATGTAATAAAAGGGTTTACCATTTCATTCTCATTGTTTTAAAATAATTTTATGTTTTTATCAGCTAGTTCAGATTTTATTATTCAATGTGATTAAACTTACAAATTCTTAAAATGCCCATTTGAGAATAGTCATGGGCTGGGCGTGGTGGCTCACGCCTGTAATCCTAGCCCTCTGGGAGGCCAAGGCGGGAGGATTGCTTGAGCTCAAGAGTTTGAGACTAGCCTGAGCAAGAGTGAGACCCCATCTCTACCAAAAAGAAGTTTTAAAAAAAAAAACCCAGCTGGGTATTGTGGTGCACACCTGTAGTCCCAGCTACCTGGGAGGCTGAGGCAGAAGGATCGCTTAGAGCCCAGGAGTTGGAGGTTGCTGTGAGCTACAGTGATGCCAC